TAGGTGTGTGTGTGTGTGTGTGTGTCCGTGCGTGTGTGAGTTGGTGTGTTGATTTTGCACTCTAGATGTCTTAGAGTTTCACCCCTTCATTGCTGTGCATTTTTTTTCTGCATTGTGGGGGATTTGTAAATTGTACACACAAAAATTCAGTATTTTCAATTTTTTCCCCCATTTCCCATTCATTTCCTATGGTCGCTCATTTTTGACCGAAGACCATGAGTGTGACTATTTTTTTTGGACCACTTAGCTTTTTCGAATCATGCCCTCAATTTTTTTTTGTGTTCACATACCAAGTGCCATAAAAGACACCAAGTTTCGTACCATTCCGATGAAGCTACGATTTTTGAAAATTCAAAATGTTAAATTGTCCAGTCAGAAGTGACCGAAAACCGCACAAGGGTTAAAATGATTAAATGCTTTGTGTTGAAAGAAACATGATCGCAAGTCATTATGATGCTGGATTTGAGAGTGAATCAGAATGAAATTGGTCTGCTTGATTCATTAGCAAAGTTCTGAATCAAAATGATTCTTATCTGCTAATCTTAACAACCAGTCTTGGTTAAAAACATGTCTGCTGTTCTTTTCCTTGAAATAATGTATTTGTAAATGTGTTTATTCAGGTTTGGAGACTGATGGGATTTACAGAGTCAGCGGGAATCTGGCCGTCATTCAGAAACTGCGCTTCGCTGTCAATCATGGTGAGAAAGAGTCAAAATCACATTAATATCATACCCATAACCGTCATGATATGAGGATCTGTCATTCATTGCGATTAAAAGCAACATGAAATCAAAACTGAACGCATGTCCTGGTTTCACTGTGAATGATTCACTGTAATTATCAGCAATATATAGGGCATAAATACATTTCAAACCCAGTTTTATGAAATCATTATTGTTATTTAAAAAAAATAAACATGTCATACATACAGTAATCAAAATTATTTAATGATCATTTGAAAAATGCAAGAGATGCCTTTAATTTGGGACCAAATTGTTGGTTTTTAGTTACTCATAAATGTACATTTCCTATAAAATTAATATGCAGGTACTTTGGTAACATGTTTGAATGCTTGAATACTTCATTGTATAAAAACATTTCTCCCATCACGCTGTAGAAAAGCCCAAATTATGTCACTTCCTCTATGTTACAATTTTAAGGAATTGTACATTTTATGTAACTGGGGAAAATTGAGATTTGAGTCGGTTAATTGTACTAAATATTTTGTACTACAGTAAATTGATGATTAATTCATTTATTGATCAGATGAGCTGCTGATGTGATGTACTGTAAGATCAGAAAGTCATAAGTATTTTTTTTTTTGCTGTATGATCTTTTATATGTTTTTCCATTACTTTAACTCATCAAAATAATTTAACCAATTTCAATTAAATTTTTTAAGTTATACAAGATTCAACTCAGTTTTCAGTCAGTTTAATATAATTTAAGTTGAAATGAACTGAACAGCCAATTTGATTATACTTAAATTAAGGCAGCAGCTGAATTTAAGTTTTTAAGTAGAAGTAGGTGGAATTTTTTACAGTGTAGTTGCAGAAAGCACTCATCAGTAGGTCACAGAAGAGCGGCCTGTCATGTGATGTGTGAATGATGTCATCAGACGTGTGTGTGTGTGTGTGTGCGTTTGTGTGAGTGAGTGTGTGCGTTTGTGTGCATTTTTGTGTGTGTGTGTGTGTGTGTGTGTGTGTGTGTGTGTGTGTGTGTGTGTGTGTGTGTCTGTGTGCGTGTGTGTATGTGCGTGTGTGTGACTGTGTGCGTGTGTGTGTGTGTGAGGTCACACGTGTGTAACTCCTATCGGTTCTTTCAGAGCGAGCCGTGACCACAGACGGACGCTATCTGTTCCCTGAGGATTTAGTTCAAGGTTTGTCTCTTATA